AGGGAGCGGGGCGAGCTGGTCCGTAGGAAGGTTGAAATATTTTAGATGGTCAATGTGCGCCTGCGCGCCCGCGTAGAGACTTATGGCTTTCCCCTCACCCCCCAGGCGCTCCAGGATGCAGCCCAACACCACTCCCGAGTACGAGTCCAAAACCAGGACACGGGCACCCGCTGCCACATTGCCGAAAGAAAGGAGTTGGGCAATGCTGTCGGGGCGGATGGCCGTCGTTTTCACCAGCCCGGACTTGACGAAGAGGGCTTCCGCGACGTTGCTCCCACACCCAGCCAATGCCCGGACGCGAACCACGTATTTGTGTGCCTTTTTCTGCGTCCACTTCTGCTTGGCAAAGGCCGTTTTCTTCTCCCAGGTGTCGGAATTGGAGGCGAGCGCCTGAATAATTGCCTGTCCCGAGGCCCCGCTCCGCTTCAGCTCCTCCACCTCCTCCATGCTCAGACGCTGGGCTGTGTTCGTGTCGGCGAAATCCCGGTTATCCAGGCTGACTCCATCGTATTCCCCGAGCGGGGCCCCACCGCGTGCAAAATCGTTCCCGTCCATGTCACCGACGGACAGGTCCTCATAGAGCTCTGTGGTGCCGGGCAGGGGCACGAGGCGATCAGGATGGACCTCCAGGACGCTTCCGTACGGCACACCGATCAAGCCGCTGAGCGAGATGGTAACACGGCCCAGACGCATCATTCCTTTCTGTTGTGCGCAGGCAAAAAAATTGCGGCCGTCGCCCATCTGTAAGATGACCCAGGCGCCTTCCTGAATGACTGCGGGGGGCGAGGCAGAGGGGGGAGGTGAAGACGGGGAGGGGAGAGGGGAGGAGGCGCTTGCGGCCATGATGGTAACGCCGCTGTCGCCACGACGCCCTCAATTCGGATGTGCTCAGTCTAGTGGTGTGTATACAGGAAAAAAGTCTCGCCGGGTGAGCATTTTCGTGTCCTTGTGGAGTAGGAAGGGGGGGAGGTCGAGGAGGAGGTTCCCACTTATTTATGCCCGTGTGACTCCACCACCATGCGTCCTCAGTTACTCACGACCGCGAGAAGGCATTCTTCTGACATCAATTGCACGGAGAAAGTATGCCGCTTGAGCCGGTACAGGCAGGAAGGAGAGGTTTTGCAAGCGTTGTGTGAAAGGTTGCAGACGGCTACTAGTAGTGGTACGGAGGCTCCGACGATCGAACACGCCACTGCCGTCATGCGCCCCGGCACAGGGATCAATACTTTTTCGATAAAAAAATCTGACCACCGCACACATGCCCACGCAGCAAAACAGCTTGTACCACAGGTGACAGCCCTCGCTTAGGCGTCCGCCAGGAATGGTGGTGCCGCAAGACATGCAAGGCCCTCGGCGTCTGCGGAGTTCCCCGACTCGGACTATCACCCTGTACACCGCCCTCCTCCTCCTTGGGGGGGTGGAAGGAAGTGAAATGCACGGTACGGTCGGAGGAGGATGGAGTCTGCATAGTGCTGGCGGAGGCGTGGATCTCTCACGCGTGATTCTGTCTTTCTTACAGCTCCTGCGTGCCGCGCTCGACCATCGCGTCAGAAAGCCGTCCCCCCGGCTTTCCTGCACACTCCATTATGCTCTTCTTCTTCCAGCGTCCATGCATCCTCTATCTCACCGCATCCCAAGTGTATAGACTTCCTTTCGGGGATCTTGGCATGCAAT